GCTCTTCCGATCTCCCCAAAACCCCAAAACCCCGCAGTCCCTTAATGTTAAGATTATGATAGAGGTATTTTATAACAATAGCTAATAAAATAAGTATGATTTATAATAAAGTTCTTAGAAAAATACTGTATTCCACTCCAAAGCTGTAATATTGATAAATATTATTGTATAATAGAAATTCAATAGTGAGGTTTTTCATGATTCTGGCTAAGGCCGTTTTATGTGAATTGGACTATCAATTGAATCATACATATCAAAAACATCATCTTTTGGACTGATTTATAGTGACTAGTTTAGCAGTCCAAATGAGGATTCTCTGTTGCTTTCAAATGTTCCTCGTTCTGTAAAATTTTTAATTTTAAACTTCATTCTTAAAACACCCTCCTCATTTTACGAATCCTTTTAGAATTCTAATTTCTATTTACTCTATACCATTGTACTTATTGATCTTCCTCTTTACTGCTGCTATGATATCTTGTTGTTTTCTTCGTTTGTCAATATATTATCAATTGAATATTTTAAGTTAAAACCAGTTGATGTCACTACATTCTATGAGGTGGTTAAGAAGTATGTAATTTTACAATGAGAGTTGAGTCTTGTGTAGGAAATAATAAATATGGTTTGTTTATTATGATATCAGGATCTAGTCTTATTTTAAGCTAGCTAGATTCAAAAGTTAATAAAGATGGTAAGCACTTATCTTTCATCTTCCTAAAAAATTCTGAAAATTTTGACTCCTCTTCCTAGCCAATTGTATCAATATCTTAAATTTCAGTTTGCAGTGGCTTAAATCTAAAAAAATGTATGGTGCCACTTTCTCCACCAATTACCCCTACTTCAACATCTGGCTCACTTTTGCTCAATTATATCCTAAGAATTTGTAGCTTTCCAAATTGCAGACAAGCATTATAACCTCTCCGGAATTGCTATATAGGCTGTGTAGTTTGATTGGTACGCAATTCAAAAATAGAGTATAGTTTTAACAGAATGCCTTAGTAATTCACTACAAATAATCTCTCCCCAAAATCATCCAAAAGGATGTCTCCAATCAGGTTTTACTAAGCGTCTTCTTTCTCACCAAACACGTTGTCTATCATAAATTCTCGCTGGAATGCAAAATCTTTTATTTACAGTGAACACTAAGACTTTTCTGATATGGTTGCTAAAATAAGTCTTAGATCGTCAGCTTTAAAGGTCGCAAAGCTAAATAGTCCTTTATCATTGTCTGCAGTCTTAATACAGTCAAACAGATCTCTTCCTTTATATATGTACATCTAATTTTTCAAAGCAAAAGCCTGATAATGCCTATTTACTATTTATACATCCTTTATTTGAGTACTAAACATTTATGAGTACATCTTCTTGCCCTTATCATAAAATTCCACTCTATAATAATCATTAATATTATTCTATTTTTATTCAGCTTACTGATTGGGTCTTTAAGAAGTAATAAATCCATATTGTAGTGTTCGATAGAGTAGAGATAGATGAGTAATCTCATACTATGACTCTTGATAATATGCTAGCTTATAGTTAGTTGTCTCAAATATTGAGAAACCTAGTTGATTATCCCATATCACTCCTATAAATGTCTGAAATTATGTTATAATCACGCTTCTCTTATCATATATAATCTTCACTTACATTATCCTAGTTAAGAATAAGCTTGCTGACACCTCTTTATTGAGGCTTGAAATTTTTCGTGCTTGAATCAGGAGATAAAATGCTATTAAAATTTTTCAATTTAGAATTGAAATCCTAGATAAGAGTCGACGATTTCAGAATTGAGTCAGTATTAGTCTCTTTTTTGGAGAAAAATTATTGTATAGATAGATTCAAGTTTGAGAAAAAGTCTGAGCTCTTCTCGGGAATCTAAGTTGAGGAAATTTTCTCCAATCCTGATATTCTCTCTGACTAGAATAAATTTTCTGATTACTCCATGAAAACTAATAGATAAAAATTTTGATCACTTTATAAATTTTATCTTAAACTATCTCAATTTCTAGAGCAAGGGGTTTTGGGGTTTTGGGG